CGCCAGGCAGTGCTGAGAGGCCAGCGGGGGGATGGAGGCCGACGAGCAGGGGCTGCTCGGGCTGAGCAGCTGCTGGGAGCCAGCTGGGTACAGGGAGCAGCTCTCGGACTCCTGGGCACAAAGAAACACCGTGAGAGTGCCCAGCTCAGCCTGGCGTTGGGACAAGGCCTCCCCAGGAGCTCCGGCACCGATCCCAGCGCAGCAGAGCTGCCGTCCTCCCCCCAGCACCAGGGGGCTGTCGGGCGCTGTGCGATGCCCGGGGACAGTGCGTTTTCCAGTGGCTGCAGTGGCAGGGCTGGGCAGTCCGAGCCCAGCTGTAGCTCTGAACAGGGACGGAGGGTCCCCAGGGCAGGCAGGGACTCGGACGCTGCCACTTCTCCTGTGAGCATTCACTGCCTGCATTGCTGCGTTGCCTCCATTAGAGCAGCGGCAGCTCTAACGACAGGGCCATTAGTATATTAGATCCCAGGCAGACACCATCAATAATGAAGCCAAGCAGTGTGTCCCTTCAACCCTTCTCCCACCCCTTGGAGATATTAGATAAGAAGTGCAGAGACAAGATGACAAATTTCAGAGCTGTCCCCGATGCTGCCGTGAGCCTCCTGCTCCCCTGCTCTGCCCCTCGGGGTCTTGGGACCCCGCTGAGCCCTGCGCGTGCCGCGGCGACGCTCTCCCGCCTCCCGGCCCTGCGATCCTGCTGCACAGGGGCTGGCTCTGCCAAGGACAAGCAGTCAATTTGCAGCTGGGCTCAGTGCACACATTACTCTAAAGTCATCCATTAACCTCAGGAAAAAAATAATCCACAAGCACCAGGCTTAGCTCCCAGGGCTGGGCCAGCAGCGAGGAGCTGAATGTGGTCACGGGAGTCGGGAGGTGCCAACGTGCTGCCAGGCAGGGCTGCCACCCTGCAGGGCCAGCACCGGGGCTAACGCAGCCGGGCGAGTTCGCAGCCACAGCACGTGCTACAGGGCCAGCCTGGGGGCTGTGACTCACGGGGACCCGTGGGGAATGAGGCGGGTATACGATGGAGCAGGGCACCTGAGGACCTTTACCACACGTGGTGACTGAGGCCGGGTGGGTCTGCATGTCCTGCGAGCCTGACCGCAGTGTGGCCTGTGGGAAAGAGGCCCTGTCCTGCCTGGCTGCAGAGCGTCCCAGGGCAGCGGCAAGTGCTGGGTGCCAAGAAGGGAGGTGTCTGCAGTGGTATCTCCATGAAAGCCCTTCTCTAAAGCGGTAACAACAAACCAGCCCCTGGGTGGCCCCCACAGACTGACCTGGCAGCTCTTGTCCTTCGAGACCTGTCCGGGTTTCAGCATGCCAAGCTCGACCCTGGCAGCAGGGAGCTCTCCAGGTCCCCGCTCTGGCACACAGATCCCATCAGGGTCACTGCCAACCTCATCCACGTCTGTGATCTTGGAGCCCTTCATCTGGTGAACTTCAGATGAGACAGATAAAATAAACCCGAGTTCTCACACACCACTGGATCGCAGCAGCCGCCCGCAGATCGCAGGGCTGGCAGCGGAGCCGAAGGCTTAGGCAGAACAGCCAAGGCTTTTTTCAAGTCTCTGCGTGTGGCAGTGGGGCAGGAGCAAGGCAGTGGGCTAACCGTGGGGCTAGTGCCTGCAGGGAAAGGACCCTTGGCCTCCATGCTCGGGGTGGGGAGGCCCAGGACGGCGCAGAAAGGCTGGAGCAGCCCTGGCAGGGCAGCCGTGCGCTCAGTCCCAAGGGACGTGCAGCTTTTGCTGCCACCAGAGCTGCCTTACAAAGGACAAGCGATTTTGGCATTTCCCCATCCCAAAGCCTCTGCCATTGCTGCTGAGGGAGCGATCTGCCCGAGACCTGGGGAGGGGAAAGTCACCTTCTAGCGGCTGCTCCTCCACGGACTTGTCGCTGGCGCCGTCCGCCTGCCCGTCGGCGTTCTGCAGCGCGTGCTGCAGGCTCAGCTTGTGGCACACCTCGAAGGCCTGGCCCACCGTGCGCACCACCCGCATGGCCTGGCTCTGCGGAGCGAAACCACGGCGCGTCACGGGCAGCAACGCGCCCACCCCTCCTGCTCCCCAGGGAAAACACGGATCCTGCCCCGATGTGCCAGGGGGGCCGGGAGTTGCCCCTGGGATGCGTGTGTCTCAGGATAGATCAGTGCAGCCTCTTCCCAGTCTAATTCCCACCACTCTTCCTCTGCCCAGGCACCCTCCAGCACTGCCCTGCACTGGCAAGAAAGCAGGGCCAGTACTTGGTTTGGATGTAGACCCTGGCCCTGCCACATCCCTGGCAGTCTGCTCGTGCAGAGACGTGCTCTGCCCTCTCTGTGCTCTGAACTGAAGTGGCTGCACTGCTCGGGCACACATTTTCAGGGACATTAGTGCTGCATCGGCCTCTCCCCCAGGACCTGGACTGGTCAACCTCAGTGCTTCCTTCTGTAGCACAAGGAGAGGGTCCCCCTGTGATCTCTCGTCCTTGCGAGGACATGGCCGTGGCCAGGGAGCATCCTACCTTCTTTTTAGATTTGAAGACATTGCACCTGAAGGAGTTGTTAGCACCATCCCTCGCAATGTAGCTAAAAATTTTCAGATCTTGGGAATCATGAGACACATAGAAGATTCTAGGCAAAAGAGACACAGAGTGAATTAATCACACAGCAGACTCTCTGACCTCAGAGAAACCTCAGAGGCTCTTGTGCTCACTGAACAAACCCAAGGATGGTTCAAAGTATCCAGAAGCCAGAGAAAGGAGGCCATGCATGGTGGATGGCCTTTCCAGCAATTACCAAGGCCAGGAGGCAGCTAATTGACAGAACACTTCTTGCTTGATGGAAAATATTCTGGTTTCTAAAGCAGCTTCCGTGAAAAGGCTAAAAAAATATAGTTTTAGAGAGCGTGTGTCTATTTTTAGCCCTGACAATAAATCTCTGCCCTGCTGCAGTGTAACAGAAGCGGCTGTGCCACTTCAGCAGCTGGAATTTTGCTGCGCTGCAGCTGGACCAACGCAGGGACCCCCCTGCCAGGGTGGGAGCCGCTGCCCCTCCTGCTGCCCCTGTAGGGCTGGGTTGTCCTGGCTGCTCTTCCCTGGCCAGAGCTGAGCTCTTCCCCAGCCCCTCTGCTCTTCCCAGCTGCAGCTCCCAGGACACGGGCGCTCCCCTCCGTCCCGAGCGGCTGCGCTAGCTCTGGCTCGCGGCGGGACGGGATGGGGAGAAACTCGGGACACTGTCAGAGGAGACCGGCACCAGACGGAGCAGGGACTTGGTGAGCAGCACAGAGGAACCGTCAGGAGCACAGCCCTGTTTTCTTTAATGAGTGATGATGATACAGCACAAAAGCCAGCTACTCTTAGACACATCTCCCAGGAATGTTACATTTACTCTCTTACTGCTGGAGGTAATACCTTGAGCAGCTTCCCAGAAGAAAAAGACAGCCCTGCAGTGTTTGCCTAGGTCTGCCTCTGAGCGGAGACACCACAAGATATGTGTGGGTGAGGCTTTTGTCTCCAAAATACTTTGAGATCCTAGGGCAGGGGCTAGGGAAAGTTACTGTTGCTCTGTGCAAGTTAATTGCCCATGAAAACTTATGCCTAGAGTGAGGCCCTTCTTCAGAAGCACACGGCACCCAGTGAGCTGTGCTTTGTAGCAAAACCCAGGGAGGCCGGTCTTCTGAGTCAGAATTAGAGAGTAATTCTGTCTGGAAGGGCTCTCTGGCAGTCATCTGCCCCAACCCCTGTTCAAAGTACGGCCAACTTCAAAGTTAGAGCTAGCTGCACTGTTAGATCAGCCCGCCAGTCTGTTTGTCTCTCAAAAATGTATGAAAAGATTCCCCCGGTGCAGGAATTTTGCCCCCTCCTTAATTTTTCATGGGCCATTGGAGAAGCCAGGCTTCTTGGTGGTGATCAATCAGCAAGCAGGATGAGGAAAATGCAGTCCCTCTGGTATGCTTAATTACCTGGGAGCTGGCTGGTGTAAGGCCCTGCTGCATACCTGTACACAGGATCGTGCATCACCACCATTTTACTCTCGTCCCAGGTCCATTCCTTCCTCTGTAAGCAGAGAGGACAGAAGCAAAGTTAAAGTGTATCAGAGAAGATGAAATTGCACCAATCTGACAGGCAGGGCCGTGGAAAACAGTGCACTTGTCCTAAGCCAAAATTCAGGCTACAGTTAGATTATATTAACAAAGACTTTGCATCTTAGATGAAGAAAAAAAAATCAGATCATTTATCATATGTGATCATCTGATCACAGCTTCCAGGGCTGAAAACTGTCCCTAAGATTAATTTGTAGCATCAAATATGCAGAAGAGTAACACATTTCGGGAACAAGGCTTTGAGCTAGTGCTTAGGAGAGCTGGCTCCAGATGCTGCCTTTGTGCAGGTGTGAACGTGGAGGTGCTAAGCACAGCCTACGTGAAGAGCTCCGCAGAGACAGTACACAACGAGCCCACCAGAACTGGCAAAAAATGGCTTGTTCCAAAAGCCTTGCTTTTTTTTTTTTTTGGTCAGAAAAAAAATCACTTTCCACTCTTTCTTTTTTCAGCAAGGTTTGTTGTTAGTTTGTTTGATGAAAAATGTAAAAAAATGACTTCTTTTTCTTCTGAAAATCCTGGGTGATTTTTAAGGAAAGGCCAGTTTGGGTTAGAAGTTTATTGTGATTATTCTGAGCAGCTCTAAGACATATTCAAAGCCTACATGTAAAATAAGTCTGAGGCAGCATTACAGAACCCCCACTAAGATGCAAACATGCAAATCCTGCCCGAGCAAAGCCTCCAATTGCCTCACTTTCCCGCTGATCTTTGGAGCATGCTAAAAATCTACTTTGTCTACAAAAGGCACAGGCGGTAACCGAGGCCAGTAGCTTTTAATGCCCAGTCTCCATGTGACTCTTGCATGGGCCGTGAGAATGTCCAGGGCTTGCTGGAACCTCAATTTTGGAAAGGCTCTTAATCCCCAAACACAGTGGTTTAATGGAATCCCAGACCACATGTGAGCGGGATGAAAGCTTTTACCTGTCAGGGATGATTTAGGTGTGACAGATCCTTCCTCCAGCCCCGAGCAGGGACTAGATGGTTTGGTCTAGCTCTGTGAGACACGGGCAGCTTCCCTGCGGCCGTGCGGCACGGCCGGCTGCCCCTCCGGGACCGCCCTGGCTCCCGACTGCCCTGCAGGTGCTGCAGGAATCTCACCTTCTGCTTCTTGCGCAGAATCACCTTCACGCCGTCCACGGAGACGATGATGCTCACCTTCTTCTTCTTAATGTTCTTGGCTTTGAACTCATACTGTTAAGGAAAAAAATCCAGATTAGGAGAGATGCAGGACAGGGAGGACACCTGGGGCGGTAGCAGTCAAGCCGAGCTTGATCTTCCGGACTATCCTGCTTCAAGAGGCAGATTCTTCCCAGCCCTCAGTGGGAACTCAGCTCTTCTAAAATCTACTTGTGACCGTCCCCTTCCTGCAGCCTCGGGCCACCCCGGGAGCAGTGAGTGGCAGGGGGCTGTGGTTAGGGTTACACCGGAGCACGGCAGGGACCCAGCACCCAGCAGAGACCCAGCGCAGCCCTGCCGAGATGGGGGTGCTTGGGGGCACGAAGGGTCTTCTGAAGCACAGGACCAAGTACTGGGGTGAGGGCACACGGCAGGGAGCTGTTAATTCAGATCCGGAAAGAACGTTCATGATCTGCTGGCGTTTGAAGGGCCTTAAACAGCCCAGTGGGACTCTGTGCCGAGGTGTAGCTAGAGAGATGGTGCTTGCAGCAAAAACTAAGCAGTGAATTATGGCATCTCTAGCGCCCTTGTGCTGCAGCACTGCAGTGCTTGGGGAATATAAGATTACTTATGAAGTGTAAGGAGGGCCAGATGGGTGGCAATAATGCAATTATATCTTAGTCATTTGCATAATCACATTAACCTCGGTGGGCTCAATACCTCTGGAAAAAAAATCCAGCTCCTTATCTGCAGGTGCCTGCAGTCTGAACTCACCTCCATTTATGTTAAAAATTAAACTGCCAGATTTTAAATGCTGCTTTTGATGGTAACTAAGAAGCAGGACAGAAGCCTCCCACTCTGGAGACCTGTATTTACTTTGCTGATCCTCTCTGGCCCACGTCAGGCCAGCTTCTAAATAAAGCGGTTTGCTACTCTTCGTGTTCTCCATCTGAAATCCAGCACCGTGAAGCAGCAGTCCAGTTATTAACAAAAACAGATACAATGAAAACAGGTTGCTTTTTTGTTCCCCAAAGGCTAAGGACTCGCTCCAGCTCACTGCTGAGCTGCAGCTCGAAGCATCACGAGCCTCGAGGGCAGAGAAGGGCTCCCTGCATGAAACGCGCTGCAGCCCCTGGGCAGGGACCTGCAGCCCTGCAGCAGCCTCGGGGATCAGCCCGGCTCCCCTGGGGATCAGCCCAGATCCCGTCCTTGCCGTCCAGCAGATCCCAGGCTGCAGGGTTGGTGCTTCCCTCTCTCAGTTCAGGTTGTGCCCACACACCCTGCAGGTGACTGCTGAGCCCCTCATCTGGACACCTCTGCCTAACAGAGAGCTCTATTTATTTCTCTCTCTTTATGCCCAAACGGCTGGAAAAATACTAGCCAAGCTTCCCAAGAAAGTGAGCCATACAGTGTATTTTCCCCTTGCAGCAAAAGGGGTGCAATTACGTTCAAACAAGGCTCTTTATTGCGGCTTTACGCCAAGTCCCAGCCTGGGTCTGGCTGCTGTGGTTCTCCTCTCTGCCGTGGAGCTCGGCTGCGGAGCGGGCGCATGCGGAGCCGCCCCGGGGCCGACGCTCTCGCCGGCTCCGCACGGAAGCAGCAGATGGGATGCAGCTCCAGTCCTTTAATTGCTTCCTTTCAAGCAGGAACCAGTGGGGTCATGTTTTGATTAATTGGGGTTTACATAAGGACAAAAAAGCAAATGAAAAAAATACACTGCAAGGTAGCAGCTTACCTCCTCTAATGCTCAATGTTTGTGGTAATGCACAAACTAATACACGCACAAACACGAGGCTCCCTGGTTAACCTCATACAGCTGTTGGACAGCAAAGGCTGCTCACTGAATGTTTTTTCTTACTATTGCACTAATGCATATTTTTTCTCCAAATTTGTCAGGGTTACTGACAATGCAAAACCCAGTAGTGTTCGTTTCCTGTGCTGCCTCCCAAGATCCAGTGTTATTCCCTGCTGGTTGTGCTGTCCTCTGGTGGAAATCCTTTTGGATGTTAAAATATCTCGAATTCCCCCTTTAAGACAGCAGTCAGTGGGCAAACCTGACAGTTTCTTAGCTATGGAGAAAAGATGGGCTGATTTAAAAGAAATGCAGGTCAGAAAAGGGCACTGCATCTAATTTAATTTAGCAACTTCATTAATCTCCATATTAATTCTATTTCTGATGCGTCTGACCTGGAATACTTTGTGTGTGTGCTTTTAAAATCCTGTGTTCAACTCTTTGCCTTTCAGATTGGTCCCACACACTGTTGGCATGTAATATTAACTTCTCTGAGAGCTAAAAACTGTATGACTAGAAATGTTAATGGAGCTGTGTAATGCATATTTCATCTCATAATTCCAGCCAAGCAGATATAAATTACACATGCAGTTACCAGCTTCCATCTGCTGATGAAAGAGATGGGCTAACGCACATTTGAAATCATATGCAGTTTCCAGCACTAAGAACAACGTGCATGAATAGAGTTATTCAGGGAAGCAATTCTTAATGTGATTAATTACTAAAGGTATCAGGGCTTTCATTATGCAAATGAAAACTGTCATAAAATAGAAAGTCTGCAAGTCTTAGAAAGAGTCTCAGTTTCAAGAAAACGCACCTTTCTCATTAACAAAGAGCAGAAGAGCCAGACTGAGAGCAGGGAGAGCCAGGACACACCGAGTGCTGCAGTTTGAAATGAGGTTTGCTACTGCACAGCGTAAATTGTGTCAAGGGAAACTGAGGCAGAGAATGTCCAGGTTTTTGAAACGGGATCACACGCGGGTTCACAAATGCTGCTGGGTCGGCGCTTTGTCTGCATGCCCAAAGGAAGATGCCACAAGCTTGGAAACGGACCCTGCAGCTGCAAATACTTCAGCCAGCCCTTAAACTGCTGCCCAGCCCCGTCCTCCCTTCTTCCCTGGCCGTGGTCTGCTGGGATGGCAGGATATTCGGGCCCGTAAACAACCCTACAATGAGCAGCTCGGCCCTTTCCCAAACCTTCCTTCTGGCGCACGCAGGAAGCACGGCGGAGGAGGGAGCTGCTCGGTCCTGCTCCCCGACGCGGCCGCTCCTGGCAGCATCACGCCAGCAGGATGTGACGGGTCCGTGCGGCGGCTCCGAGCTGGCACGTGGCGCTGCATGACACATATGTGACGGGAGCGGCGTGGGGAGGTGTCTTTCCCTCCCGCTGCAAGGGCAGTTTGCAACCTGTGACACTCCACACGCAGCATCTGAGGCACTAACGCCGTGATGAATCCAAGAATTTCTAGTTCAGGAATGCTGTTAAATTCAAACCAAACCAACGCGCCGTGGCATGAGGACATGGTGTTACTCAACTTCTCTTTGAATTATTGATGCTTGGAGTGCTGCTGCTTGGAAATGATGCTGCACAAAACTCGGGACTTTTTTCTCAGCCAGGGCAGATTGCTAGAGCTCGGTTTGCCTCTCCAGGCCTGACAAATGAGCAGTGTCAGTTCCCACACCCTTTGGACCGCAGTCCAGTCTCAAATCCCGCTCTGAATCACCACGTCCCCGTCTGCATCCCACCCTCCAGTGACAGCACACGAAGCGAGGGGCATTTTCCCCCGCCAGCTCCAGCCCGCGCAGCCTTGCTCGGGCAGTGCCCGGGCTCCGGCCTTGCCGTGGTTGGTCCTGGAAAGCACATGGCTGCCTGAATCCCGCGGACCGCGCGTGCCCGCCCGGGCCCCGGCGCGCGGATGCGTCTGGGCATAGTCTGGGTCTGTGCGCCAGTAACTGGGCAACTCGGAAACAAAAGCGACGCAGGAAGCTGCTGGCTCCAGGAGCGCACCTCCTGCCCAGTGGAAAAATGAGAATTTATGATCCTTGGAAACATAAAACTGTTCAGTGGAAAGCAGAAAGCGAGCGGGAAGCACAATAGGCGAGAAGAATGCTGGCAAAATACCCAAAGCCTTTTTTTCTCATTCAAATTAGCTCCTTCCACCATCCAACAAATTCCCTGCAGATAGTGCAATCCGTCCCCTACAGTGCTCCGAAGGGAGTTGGGAGCTATTGCAGCCCCGCGGGGTCCCTGGGACCCCTGGGATGGCAACAGCTCTTTATTATGGTACATTGTATGTCTGCAGTGTTGAGAGGGGACATTGGGGTCACTGGCAGCCCCGACGCTTGGCTGGGTGCTGGGAAGGGCTTTGAGGGCCATACGTGTGTGTTGACCTTGGGGCAGCCCGGCGATCCTTTTCTCTCCGTCTCGGATTCTACGCAGGAGCTGGCTGCCATGGTCAGGGCACGTCTGAGTGTCACCCTCTCTGTCCCCTACCTCCAGCTCAGACTTCCCTGGGCAGTTAAAACCACGTTCCCACAGCAAATCCCAACAACCGGACTAACAGCGTTCCGGCGAAGCTGGCGAGTGGCTTCCCACCCATGGCATTGCAGATGCAGAAGGAGGCATTTCCTGGTGGTTAAATGGGGACTGGGATTCCCAGCTCTAGACAGGGCACAGAGTCCTCTCGTGTCACAGCCATTCCATGCGGGTACCCCAGGAAAGGCGAGCGGCCACGACCTCCTTACACCTGTGGCTAGTGCTGGGCCGGGACACCAGCCCGGCCACAGACCTGGGGTGGCCACCGCTCAGGAGCAGGAACTAGGGACGCCCTATCACACAGGGGTGATGAAAGGGGTGACAGGAAAACCTGGTCTGCAAGCTGCACCTTTCCCTGACACGCGTCACCCTGACACGCGTCACCCTGGCACGTTGGCCCGAGGGGAGGGCGCCCGCAGGTTTGCTGAGGCCAGGGAGCCGGCTGCGAGTCCCTGCGCTCGGCGCTGGCTGGAGGACCCCCCTCCTCCCGCCGCACAGGGCGCTTCGTGTGCGGAGATAACAGCTTGGCAGCGCTGCCCAGGCCCACGGCCACCTGCTTGCACAGACTGAGGCTTCTGGTTTCCAGCTGGACACCACACACCTAGTGTCAAGGCCCTGAAGCACTAACAGGCCTCAACGGCCTGAGCAGCCTCAGCTGGGCTCTCCACCCAGCCCTGCCCAAGGTCCCCAGCCCCATTTAAGCTCAGTCCTGAGCCCTCCCTCCTTCCCAAGCCATGCTGTGGGAGT